CTTTTACTCCCTTCCGGACTGCCTCTACGACTTCCAACAGATCGTTGATAAATACCTGGAACAATATTGGGGACAGCGTTCAATCTTGTGGGACCCCCAGCTCAATGTCGAAGAATTTTGACAGTTCTCCGTCTAGCATGACCGCGCTTTTCGTGCACTCTGTCATCTTCTTCAGCACTCTCCACATTTTCCCCTTGATCCCGTATTTGGACAGTTGTTTCCACAACCCATTTCTCCATACGGTGTCGTATGCCTTTTTCACGTCCAGGAAGAAGCAGTACGTCGGCTTTCCCGCCCTCTTTCTACCTTGGATGATTCTCCCTACCGTGAACACGTGGTCTACGCACCCCCTCTTCTTGCGGAAACCTGCCTGGCCCTCACTAATGCTATGTTCCTTCTCCAATACTCCCACTATCCTATCGTTCAGCAGCTTACAGAACACTTTTCCTACTGTGTTCAACAGTGTGATCCCCCTGTAGTTTCCTGGGTCAGTCTTGTCTCCTTTCTTGAACAAGTTCACAACCACTCCTTCCCTCCATCTACTTGGCGTATACTCGTTTTTCCACACCCAATTGTACAGCAGTACCATCAGCTGGATCATCCCCTTCCCCCCAAACTTCATGAACTCGTTGACTATCCCATCCGCTCCTGCTGCTTTGTGGCACTTCAGCTTGTTCACTACACACGCCTCAACCTCCTCAGTGAACTCATTTTCTAGTTCCACGTTCCCAACGTCTGCCTTCGATGTCTCTTCTTCTTTTTGGGCCCATGCGTCCACCTCCTTCTTAAACGCTTGGTCAAAAGCTTCATTCTCCGAGGGCACTCCAAGTCTCTTGTAGTGTCCTGCTAGAACTTCCCTTTTTCCCTTCCCACTGCTGACTAATCCACCGTTCACACCTCGCAAAGTTGCGACCCCTGTATCCCCCCCTTGCGCGGTCTTTTTTACCATTCCACTAATCCCTTCCCACATCTGCTTGACGTTTCCCTCCAGGCCTCCGTTGGCCTTCTGCACTACTTCGTCCCAAATACACTTTTTCTTCTTTTTCACTAGTCCCTTCACCTGTTTTCTCTTGGCCCTGTACTTTTCCCAACTCTCCTCAGACGCCTCACTCAGGTACTGCTTGAAGACTTCTCTACGTTCCCCTATTTCTTCTTTCAGCTCGTCATCCCACCACTTAACCGATACCCCACATCGTACCACCTTCCTTCCCACTACTCTCTCTGCCGTTGCGTTCACGATGGACTCCCACCCTTCAATCACCCTGTCCCCTGCTGTCTGTACGTCTACCTGTCCGTCTTCGACGCTTCTCAGCAGTTTCCTGAAGGATTCTACACTACCAGCCAGCCCCTTCTGGAATTCATCCCGTGTCCCATCGTCTCCCAAACGCTCTACCTTCCATCGGAACACTTTCCTCTGTTTCTTACTCTTGATCTTTCTAGATCGGTCGATGTTTGGACATATGAGGAAGTGGTCGGTCGAACCTATATCTATCGCACTTACGTTCAGCTCTGGGATCTGCGTGCTCCCC